TGGTGTGAGTGTGTGTGCGTGACCTGTGATGGACTGGCCCTGGTGTGAGTGTGTGTGCGTGACCTGTGATGGACTGGCCCTGGTGTGAGTGTGTGAATGTGTGTGCGTGACCTGTGATGGACTGGCATCCTGTCCAGGGTGCACCCTGCCTTGTTCCCGTTGCCTGCTGGGATAGGCTCCAGCACCACAGTGATCCTGAACTGGAAGAAGCGGTTAGAAAATGGATGGATGGATTCGCACCACTTTCTCGCCGCTAGATCCAGTCAGTATTTCCCCTCTCGAAACCATAGTCGTCAAACACGGTTCTTGTTTTTTGAGCCCCGTCCTCATAAAATCCGGAGGCGGCTGCCTCACTGAGTGACTGACTCTGCTCGGCGTCCCCCGTAAATACTCCAGTAACGTGAACAAGCGGAATTTCACCCGCACCGCAGACAGATGCTGACGAACCCATCTAGCCAGCAAGACAAAAACAACTCACAAAAGGGTAACTCGCTACCTTTCAGTGTATCCTGTTCTCGGTAATCCCGGTGTGCTAAGACGAATACAGAAATAGCAGAAGCAAAAAAAAAAAAACAACAACTCGAAGAAATAAAGATCAGTAAACCCACATGAAAGCTAACCGCCCCCCCCCTCTCCCGCCACCCCGCCTTCTCTGCCCTTTGCCCGGCTCCAGCTCGCACTCTAGTCCGGCGCTTGGAGTGAACTTACAGGCCGTCAGCCTATTAAAAACAGTAATTGAGCACACGCACATTTCGGTCCCCTCTCTTTCAGTGGGGCACACCCCCTTATCCTAACCATTCCATTAATGTTATTCGGTATAAAATACAGCGTATTATTCTCACACGACTCCCCCAGGTTACAGTACCAGTATTAAAGAATCCATCTTCCCACACTGCCGACGTGGAGTGAGCCCAAAGGTAAGCCGCTGCCGATTGGCGAACGCACAACGTCAGTCGCAAATCCCTGTCTCACGAATGGCCAACCGCCACTGCCAATCAACATGCTGAGCCCACCCAGGAGAGCTTTGTAAGCTATTGTGATTGGTTGTAATACTAGAGGCCAACCTCTGTCGCCAATATCAAAATTAACCCGCCCCCTCAAGGCAACGTCCTTGCGATTGGTCCAGAAAAAGGGCGGTGACATTCAAAAGCCCAACCCTTCTAGGTTGCTAGGCGACAAGTTGGTTGTTATATTTTACTATGACTTTTTACCTCCTAGCTCGAAATGCATACATTAACGTAGCCTAATTCTGAATTGTACATAACACATTGTAAATCCCTACACATCTGTAGACGTAATTTATTTTTCGTATAAAAAATAACTCGCGTCCATGAATTTTATCTTTGTATTTGTATGCAAGCAAACAATTGGAAATACAATAAAAAGAAACATGCATTCTACACTTATTCGCTACTTAAGATAATTATTGTTATTATTACTACTATTAATGAACATAGTCCTGTTCATGGACTTAAAATGGATGGATAATATGAATAATTATTAAATACTATTGTTATTATTAATTAAAAGAATCCACCTGTCTTCTAACCACTTCTTCCAATTTAGGGTCACAGGGGAGCCAGACAAGCAACAATCCCGAGGCAGGCTACACCCTGGATGGGACGTCAGTCCATCACAGGGCACACAGACACACTGTGGCCGGTTTTCCCAAAAGCTAATTAACCCACCAGCTTGGAGAGGAAACCCATGTGAACCTGGCTCTGTGGCTCAGGATCTGCGCCTGCAGCTGGAAGGTTGCCAGTTCAAATCCTGCAGCCGGCAGAGGAATCCTACTCCATTGGGCCCCTGAGCAAGGCCCTTCACCCCAACTGCTCCAGGGGTGCCGTTCAATGGCAGACCCTGTGCTCTGACCCCAAGCTTGTCTCATGGACAGCGAGCTGGGGTATGCGAAAAGATAATTCCTAATAAAAGAAATTGTAAAGGGTTAATAAAGTGATGTTATATATAAAGGTCTTATATTAGTTGGTAAGTTAGGAGTGAACACCAATATTAAAAAAAAAATGTGAACCTGGGGAGGACATGCAGACTCCATACAGACAGCACGCCTGGTCTGTAACTTAACCCAGGGCTCTACAGCTGTCAGGCTGTGATGCTAAGCACTGCACCACCATGCTTCCCTTCTTATACTAATCTATCAGAATGATTGAGACTCCCCAAGGTCTCTGTCCAGACGGAATCAGGCCTGGAGACGGTCTACAGAGAAACTATAGGAACCCTCCCCACACACGCAAGCACCTCCACCCTTCCTCTCCCTGCCCATGTGTCAGACAGAGCAGGAGGGGACTCTGGTTCTCAGAGTGAGTCACCGGCCACTTCCAGCCAGTGAGCTGACCCGCGCTGGGGTCCTCACACCCACACACACCTTGTCATCAGAGGCACAAACACACGCACACGCACACAGGCACAAAGTCAATAAGAAAGAAAAAAAAAGAGGATGTTGTTGACAAGTGCCAGGAAAGTTTGGCCAGGGTACTGTGGTTTCTAGGAGCTAGCTCTGGCATTGCAAAACAGGCCGGAAGCAAGCGAGTTCTTCAGAAACCAACATTTCACAATTGATCCAGCCATGATAAATGAAAGCATACTGCAGTTTTCTATTATGTGTTTTCTAACAGGCACCCAGAAACACACACCTGCCCACACTGCCACTTCTGCCACTTCTACCCCATCCCCCCCTCCCCCCGACCAGAGGTGCAACCAACATGGTCACACAGGGGCAGCAGCGTGGCACAGTGGTCAGAACTGCTGCCTCGCAGGGCCGGGGCCCTGGGTTCGT